CTGATTGTCCTGCTGTTAGTTTACATATAGACTGTTTATCCCCACTATAATGTAAACTCCCTTAGAGATGGGACCTTATCGTTCTGATTCAATGATGTATATATACCTAGAGCCCAGTGGTGCAATGCCTACCACTCATAAACATCTACCAAACACTTAGGTGCCAAGCACTATGCTAGGTAACAAAAAACCGATTTTTTTAATTGAAAAAGAGATAGTGGGAGTAAAATATTAGTATAATGAGCAATTTGATGTTCTTTTTATGTAGATCAATTCCTGTTCTTAAGATGACTAACTTTACACAATAAATTCCACTTTGTAGTATATTATTTTGCTAGTGTGAAATATGAATATCCTTAAAGTAGAAATGATAATTAGTATCTAATTGTAGCTTTAGAAATAATCTAGAATGATCACCTTCTTCATTTTTCAATGCACAACTTGAGGGAACTAACTAAGCTCTCACTCAATAAAATACTACCTAGGAGGCTTCACATCTTCACCTTTTTCTCAGAGTATATATACAACACATTTTATCCAGTCAGAAAAATCATGACTCTGTAAAGCCTTTCTGTGCTCAACATGCAGAAATATTCACAATATGAAAAAAGAGGTTGTCAACTCACCATTTATTGCCTGGCCTCAAATTAATTTACCAGATTCATTCAAGCCAAGAAGTGATTGAATTTCAATTACTACTCACGTTCATTTCACAGAAGTCATCGCTACAGTTGAGATTCACTCTTCACGCCCCCAATGCCCATTATAAAAGAACATGCCCAACTGAGTTTAGACGAAAGAGTTATGTTTCACTGTTACCATAGTACTTTTAGGTCCATCTAATTCAGAACCACAGCAGAAGACCATAGTATTTGATGTAATCATACCAGTTACTGCTACTACCATTATGACATCAATAAACACCTTATGGCAATGCATCAACTAGGAAGAGGTAGATTTAAAGCTCGAGGCATTGAACAAGTAACATGTCTTCAGATCATGTGTCTTCTATAACACTTTATTTTTAGCACATTTTAAAACTGTCATATCTTACCTTTAAATGTTGTAATGGTTGAATACATTAAGTGTAATTTATAAAAACAAATTCAGTATCAGTTGATATAAGTACTCAAAATATCACTATATCATACTAGATTTCTAAAGCCTAAAGGAAATACATCCATCCTTCATCCAACTTTGAAACTATTTTATACATTCTGAATAACAGGATATTCTCAAACACACTCAACCAAATGCATAAAAGACATAACACATGTTCTATTTAAAATTAGCTTTCTAACCACACTTGCCAATAGCAAAAGGGGGAGGTGGTTATTTGCATGGAAATAAAAGAAAATATTCATCTAATTTTCACGTATAATATAGTTACTCTATAAAGCTGGAAGATTGTTGATAAAGCCACAATAAAATTCAATCCTAAAGTTTAAAAGTTCAGTATTTTCCAAACCACACATTATTCCTATTTGTTTTTACCTTAAAAAGAAAGTTTCCTCCAATCTTTTAGAACACTAGTTCTATATTACAAGTGGGCTTTCCCTTTAATCTAGTTACATATTTGTATAAACAAACCAGTTTTAGGACACCTAGAATTAACCCACATATTGATATAAAACTCATTTAAATACCAGAAATTATTTACTCATCCCCGTTTTCACACTGGCCCTCAGGACTAAAATGATTGCTGATAAATTCAATCAGAAGTCTGGTTCCTTTTTTTTCCAGAAAATCTCTAAAACCACTCAACTTAGTCAAAAGGCACACTGAACAATATTTCAAAAATATAAATTTTCTTCACATTCTCAGAAAAAAAAAATCCCTACATGAATCAACTCAGAGGTCATTATCTTGACCTTCACCATCTGTTAATTTGCTAAAGAAGCCAGTTAAAAGTTTTCATCTAATGTATAACTCTTTAAAACTAATTAAAAATAATTTTAAATGTTTGCTCAAGAGAATAAACATAAATAATTGCATCACTATTACTGTAAAAGTAATCAATTATCATCTAAGGACTGTTTTCTTCTCATAGAAAACAATGCTTTAGTGATAGTATACCTCCAAACATATTATTACAAATATATTTTACCAGGTTAGGTTACAAAGACATTACAGATTACAGATTACTTTGACATGTACAAATAATTGAAACCACTCCCTCTAGCCCCTTAGGGATAAAGAAATGTCTTCTCACTCACTGAAGTTACTTTGATTTCAGGATTTGTAAATAAACACACAGTAAGTACCTCTCAACTGTTGTCTCCTCTTCTTAGGACAAAAATAATACATTTTAGAGAAAATAATTTCCTACTTGTATTGTTTTCACCAAACTAATGCCTACATTAAATTCTAGTATTTCTAAAAGTGTTGGGTGACCAAATTTAACAGAATGATTTCAAATCTAACCCTGGATTGCCAAAAAGGTGGATCTTAAGTGTTCTCACCACACACCACAAAAAAAAAAAAAAAAAAAAAAAAACTATTTGAAGTGATGAATACATTAACTAGTTTGATTATGGAGATCATTTCACAATGTATACATAAAAAACATCAAGTTGTACACCTTGAGCATATATACAATTTCTATTTGTCATAGAATTGCATTATTTGACATTTTAATTAGCAATCTGAGTTTGTATCTGATCTTTTTTAAACAGCAGAAAATACTACCAGCAAAAAAATCACTTCTAAATGCTGCTTCTGTTTTGTTTTGTACATAGCCTTGAAAATGTTTACAATAATGTCAGTTACCCAATTAGAGAGCAAACATTTTGTGAAACAAAGTTACTTAACAGTTGAGTCCTAGAACCATCTAATATATTTTTTTAAATGTATATATGTAAATATGGTGGGTTTTTTCTGGATAAAAGATCCATGTAACTTTCAGCTTCTCAAAGGGGTTCAAAATTCAATTAAAATTCAAGTACCTGGGGGAACTGTCAGTGTTAGACTACTTGTCACAGACAACCCAAGCCTATTTTTTTTTGTCCCATATTAGGGGAAGATTTATCCTAATTTGGAGGCTCCTACACAACTTCTGAGCGATGCAGGCATGAAATGGCTGTCTGACACAAACAGCTCCCTGTGCAGAACCAAGGAGGCAAACCCCAAATTTTGCTTGAAGGGGAAAGGGAGAGGCAAACGGATTAACGCCCTCACTGCTCAAACATCGGTTGGCTCTTGCGGGACGTGTCATCCCCTGACTCCGAAGAGGGATGCGGGGCGGGGACCAGATTTCGGCGAAGGGCTGAAGTCCCCTTGGGAGTCACTTGCAGAGACGGCATCACCAGCAGCCCTCCCCCCTGCCCCCAAACGCCCCTAAAGTGGAGGCTGCGGGCGTGGGCGCAGCAGACCCTGGCCCCCCAGAGGCGCGCTCCAAGCCGCCGCCGCAGCACGGGCGCAGCGACCCTCCTGCCGGGGTTCCCCGCAGCCCCGTTATCCACGTCCCCCACACACCCCACGAGGGAAAGGGAGGAGGATGGACAACAAAGCCCAAACCCCGGAGGCCCAGGAGAGCTTCAAGTTGGGGCGCGGGGACCGCGATGCGGGGCGGACAGAGGCCCGCCAGATGTCAGCCGGCGTGGCCGCAGTGTCGGCAGCTGGGAGGAAACACCCCGGGCGGCGGTCGCGCGGCGGCGTCGGGGAGGCGGCCGGGGCAGCCGGGCCTAGGAGCGAGGGCGGCGGCGGCGGCGGCGGGGTGGCGGGGTCCTGAGGCGCCGCGGTCGGCCGCGACCCCCACCCCGGCCGGGGGCTCCGCCCGGACTGTGTCGGCCGCCGGCCTCAGGGGCCAGGAAGCGCCCCCACATCGCGGGTGGGTGGGCCGGGGGCGCCCGACTCCCCACGTCCGTTCTCCCCTGCCTTCGCCCCTTGCTTCTTCGGCGGCGGAAACTTGTGCGGAGCCTGGGCCGCGGCGGCACCGGCGGGAGGGCGGGCTGGTTAACGGCTGCTCAGAGACGGGCGGGGAGCACAGGGGCCAGATTCGCCGCGGCGACGGCGGCGGCGGCTGCCATGGCCGAGCCGGCTGGGCTGAGGCCCGGGCCGGGGAAGCGGCGGCTCCGCGGTGACGGCTGCTCGGTTCCCGGCTGAGTCCCGGCTCAGCGGCTCCAGGCGAAGTTGCAGCTGCGGCTTCTCTCTGCCCCCTCCGCCCGCGGAGCCGGAGCCGGAGCCGGAGCTGGGGTGGGGGCGGGGCCTGGCGGGGGCGGGGCCTCGGGCGCTTACATAAGGCGCGCGCTGCGCGGGGCGGGGACTGCAGGCCGGCCGCTGTGGGCACCCTAATGCGGTCTTGCTCTGCAAGCTGCGAATACTTCGGCCGGACCCACCAGCTGCATCCCTTCCTCCCCATCCGGCGCCCTGCGAGATGAGAAGAGGGCATAACGTGGCCCGAGGCCCTATCTTTCAGTACCCCCACTCCTTTGCATAATCCGTCAGGTCCTCCGGGGCACCTCTCGGAAAGACACCTGGAAGACCTGCCTTCCCAGGATTAGGGCGGAGTGAGATAAAGAGACAAATCCAGGAGGGGTTGAGGGACTCCCAATCCCGTTTGGAATTGGGATTAAAATCATCGTAATGAATTACACCAAAACCGTTTATAGATCATTGCGGGGGTTTGAAAAGAGGTCGTTTTCCTCAACTCGTATATTCAATGGAGAGGGGGAGAGAGGTAACAAAATAGCTGCAATGCAGAGATGTGCACAATTAAAACGCAGAGACGAAAAAAACACATCCAAAAATGTAATTAGTACCAGAGGGCTCAGGGAGGGGCTGTAAATTTTAATCTAGTAGTCCAGCGTTTCAGATAGCAACTAGAAAGAAGTCAAAATGGCACCAAAGTCTGTAATGGGAGTGTAACTCCTTTTACCACCCACCCTGTCTTTTTCCTCCTCTGCCTGGTCCGGTCCCACCTTTCACCTGAACCCAGAGTGCATGAGCAAGTATCCTGAGAAAGGACAAACGGCTGCAGCATCCACTTTTTAAAACCTTACTTCTCATTGGCAATATTATAACCCTTCCAACGTTTAAATACAAAATAGTTCATTTAGTAAGTATTGGTTGAGAAGTTAGGAGCATTGGTTAGCATTGTCTACACCGATGAATCAGAGGTAAACCACAGAAAAATCCCTACGCTCAATAGGCTTTGAGTCCCGTGATGTTTTTGCCTGTTTTTGAAGTTTGCTAACAAAGGACTCATATTTGTATTTAAACATCCTATTAATTGGGAAATACTCCTTCAAATTTTTAGAGGTTAAATTACGATTAGGTGTAGAGTCTATCACTTACCACATTTGTGTTGTAATTCATCTGATTGCAGTTTTACATTTAGTCTCCCACGGGTAGAATCCCACTTATTTCTCCAAATCATTAGCAGTTGGCCAAGGATCAACTGTTTCTGAGAACAGAAATTGACAGAAACATCAAAGAAAAATGTAATTGGTTCCTTTTCCTGATTTAAAAGGGCATTAGCTCATTTAATGATACCTGAATAGTATAGGTTCAAAAAGAAACCTAAAAATATAAATTCCAAAAAGAATTATCAGAAGCTATAAAACTACAGTTGACTGTGAACAATATGGGTTTGAACTATGCAAGTCCACTTACACCCATATTTTTTCAATAAACATACAGTCAGCCCTCTGTATCCCCCAGGGCTTCAAATCTACAAATTCAACCAACTGCAGATCAAAAACAGTATCTGCCATCTGCATTTGCAAATCCATGGAAGCGAAGGCTGACTGTATACATTGTTCTACGCCATTTTATATAAGGGGTCTCTGCGGATTTGGGCATTCTGCAGGTTCCTGGAAGCAGTCTCCCGTGTATTCCAAGGGACCGTGGGAGTCAAAAGTGATACTCCGATTTTCTACTAGGTAGGTGTCCGTGCCCCTAATCCCCACGTTGTTCAAGGGTCAACTGTATAGCAAAGTATCCTTTCTATTCATGATTTATAGTTACCATATTACCTAATCTCACATTAGGTACAACATTTATTAAATACCAATCATTTTTATACAGTTCTAAGAAATGTATGGACTATTACTGACATACCTTGGTCTTTTGTGATTTAAAAATATACTTATTTGTTATTCCCAAACTCTGCCAACTTCCACTCAATTCTAAGCATTATTTTTTTAATCATTTACTCTGGTTTTCAACATGTTTTTATCCATGTGAAGGGCATGCTACTACATGCCAAAAAAAAAAGTACATATGAAGTTGACACTATGTAAAATATTTCAATGCCTTTTTTAGCATATAGTAAAGACATGTTGCTATTTTGGCAGTTCGCACCAAAAATAAAACATTTTTTTTGTTCCTACTTTTTAAACTTGGAAGGATAGAAATCTAAACCAATTAAAATAGTTGAAACGTTAAGTGAAAATTTATATGAAGTAATAGTATATAAAGTAAACTGTAACCATTCATTTTATAATCATATGGATTCTGAGTATATACTGAACTAATATTTCCCCCACATCCAAGATACACCCAGTATCCATAGTTCTCAGAATGATTAAAATTTATCCTAGCACAAGATCATAAGCAGAGATAATACATTAAGTTATGAAAATAGTGACTGTGTATGTGTATGTGTGTATATATATATATATATATATAAATTTATTGCTTACATGAAATTCAGATACTTAATGTTTTGTGAGGAACTTTTAAAAATAGAAACTAGATCACAAAGAGGAAAATAGTACTAAAAACACCATATTTAATATCAAACAATATTAAACTCTTCATTTAAAATGTTTCATTCAAAAAAGATTATTTAAAAATAAAAAATAAATGTTGCATTTATAAATCTTAAATTCTTTGGATATGACTCTCTAAACTGATTAAGTTGAGCTATCTTACATGTATTTTTCTTATATAAATTTATCATATTGGGCAAATAACCAGAGATTTGAAAAGTGATGTAACAATGGATAAAAGTAATATATTAAAATTAGAAGAAAATCTTGTGCATAATATGAGGAAACTTCAAGAGAGGTTAATGTTTACAAAAATGTAAAATAGCAAAACCAACAAAATGTAGAAAAGTTAAATTAATCACAATTGAAATAGTTCCTAAAGAACAATTGCCATTTGATAGAAACAGATTTGTAGATAAAGTCTAAATTCCAAGGAACAGTTAATTCTGGTGTAACAAGGACCAAAATATATAACCTCTTCCATATCATAAAAATCACAAGTTAATGAATTTATCATGGGTTGTTATAATTTCAAATAATCATTTATAATAACGAAAAAAAAGAAAACTTAGAAACCATGTCTTTCAATGATGGATTTGAAAATTTTAATAGGATTCCTAGCAGATACATTCAACTATATAAAGGTGAATAGAAAACATAAATAGGTTACTTAACCTGTCTGTGTCTTAATTTCCCCATTTGCAATTTTGGCATTATAATAGTAACTACCTCATAGGATTATTGTGGGGATTAAATGAGTTAATATTTGTAAAGTGCTTAGAACATATAAGTGTGCACCTATATTGGTAATATAGACATGCAGTTTAGAAATGGAGCTGTTATACCTCACTCAGAAAGAATTACATCCATTGGTATATCCAAATCTGTTATAGACGATGCTTTGTATACATGTATCAGCATGGAGCAAAGTACTGATTGACATCTTTTTCTGACCCTTTCAGGTTACTAGTTAGTCCACGGATTATGGTGAAATGGTACACTCTTGAGAAATATTTACCAAATTTTTGGGGACCAAGTTCATTGATGCTTTCAATTCTAGATTGTGATTCCCTGAACTTCCCCTGTGGGTGTCTGCTCAGTACTGGGTTTCCTGTCCTGCCTGGCACTACCAAAATAGAGGAAGGAAGCTATGGAGAGTTGGCCAGATGGTTTGTCCAGGCGAAGGGGGCAAAGACACCTTATCACAAGCCCCTGATTCCTGAGAGATACAGAAAATGAATTCTACCTGCACCTATGGCTCCAGAGTTGGGTTGCAATGGCCAATGAGAAAATAGGTAAGATATGAGTTGAGGCCTGGAGGGATGGAATTCAGCCAAAAGATAAGTCTTCCAAGGGACCATCAATGTTTACTGGAATTGCTTAGGACGGATGTCTTTGTCATTGGAACTTATTATGGTCACTATCTGGTCATACTAAACCTATAGAAAAGACACAAGGCCATTCACAATGAAAGGAGATAGCAATCTTGACAACATATAAAGAGACAAATTCTTCTCTGCCTATCTTCCTTTTCAGACACCAGAGGGGTAAGTGGAAAGAGGGAAGTATGGAGTTTAAGAAAGCAGATCATGCCTTCACTAACACACACACACACACACACACACACACACACACACACACACACCACAGAGCTTCCTACCTAACCTGCACTACTAGAGAAAAGGACAGTTTAAATAACTTAAAATGTCCAAAACATTATGGAATTGGATTGAGATGTACTTAGTGGAAGGGGGGTTCTCAAAAGAGTATAGTTGGTAGCAGTTAGTGGGGGAAAAAACCTTAGAATATATACTTTCAATGATTTGAGACTTCTCACTAAACCAGTTACACATTTTCTGTAATCCTCAAAATAATCTGTCATCAACAGTTAATATTAGCTCCATTTTAAAGACTGAGAAAGAAGACCCAGAGAACTTAACTAAGGCCTACAAGCAGTAAAGATCTCTAGAATTCAAATCTAATCTATATGACCCATACCCCATGCTTTTCCCATCACGCTCTTCAACATGTTGCAAAACAAAAATTATAAGATGTTTTTTCAGATGCCATGTGAGAAGGAAGTACCTAACTGTAGGATTTCTGTATAGTGTCTAGGGTTCAGCTAAGATTGGAACCATGTGACCTTAACCTGTGGTGTATGATTTTCTTTAGCTGCAGCCAGCAATCTGAGTATAGGAATAAAGAAGGCAGATAGATAAATAGGATTTTGCAGGGGCGGGGCACTTGAGAACAAAGAGACAAGGAATTTAAGGATATTGGCTGGAAATCTGATGAGGTGATAGGGAACTGAGGCTAGCCTATTTGGAGAAAAGAGTGAACTAGAGAGAGGGCTGAAATGTTGAAAGACGTTTGGGGGACTAAGGGAGTGGAAGTTTCACATGAAATCAAAGAGCAGATAGGAGAGTAAGGGAGTGAATTGTGGAAAGATAGGGCATGAGGATAGGATGTTGGAGTTTAAGATTACAGAGCTGTGGCAACGAGGAATTAATCTGTGAAGCAGCATTGGAGTTGCACCTCTCTGATCTCTCAGAAAGATCTTGACGTTCAGCTGCAAAGAGTGCAGTTGGTTGACAGCCTCCAGCTGTTAGCACCCTTTGGAATCTGCCTCAGCTCTGAAGTGGAAGTCACCCTTTTCCTGGATAGCCCCAGCCAATGACGTGGTGGAGACCCTGGGGTCTGCCATTCTTTCCCATACAGAACCTTTTAACCATCAGCCTGTTCACTAGCACTCCACTGGGTTGACTGAGACCTTGTCAGATCTGCATTGTTGTCTGTGCCTTTCATTCCCAATTTGATTCCCTGTCCCTTTTTTATCTTTTACAGGTGTTACCCTCCAGTAAACTTCTTTCATTCCTAACTCCATTTTAGTATCTGCTTCCCAGAGAACCCAACTAAAACAGTCTGTGAAGATAAAGATATAAAGGAGTTGGGTTTTCAACTATTTATTTATTTTAAATAGTAAAGTAAGGCTTCCATAGAGCATGATGAAAAGGTTTCTGAGGACAGTAAACCATGGGTGGGTTACCAGGAAGGTGGCACATAGCAACACGGACTGAAACCACCCAATAGTATAAATAAATAGCGCCTTACATTTTGAACAGCAGAGGAAGGCAGGATTGAGAGGAACCACAGGTTTAAATGAACTCAGAATACCACTTGGGCACACATGAAACTCAGGGTAGAAAGTTCTCAATAGTCCTAACTGGGCTGGTCCTGGCAGCTGCTGTCCCAGTCACAAAAGCTTGCTACTATCCAAAGTACTTCCAGGAGCAAAGTATAAATGTGTGAAATACTGAATTCATTGATGTCAG